GCCCGGGCCCTGGCGTGCCCCTCTTTGAAGAGGCACACCCGCATCTCACCCCAAGCCCCCTGCTCCTTGCATCCTTTCTGGCCACGGGCGGCTCTACCCTGCTGTGGGCTCAGTGCCCGCCCGTCTCAGAGGGGCATTAAGGACGGGGGGGCGGGAGGCAAGGTTATGGGTGCTCTGGGGGGTGGAATTCCACCAGGAACGGATTTGGCCCAGGGCCTGCCTGTGGAGGGCAGAGCCGTGTCTGGGGTGGGGGCAGTCGGGGGCTAAGGACGCTAGATCTGAATGTGGCTGTGGGCTGGCTGAGCTGAGCCATGCTGGGATCCGCTGAGTGTGAACGCTGCGCATTGTGGGGGGTATCTAGGGGGACCCAAGGGGGCGGCAGGATGGAGGTTCCAGTGGACAGGGCACTGGGCTGAGACTCAGGAGATCCAGGTTCAAGTCTCGACTCTCCCGCTGGCGCCCTGCGTGTGCTCGGCCGAGTTGCTGGCTCTGCCCCCTTCCTCGGCTCCATGTCCCTGGGGATGTGCCCTGTGGGGCGTGAGGCTGAAACCCAGCAGGGAGGGGGAGGCTCAGACCCCCAGGGAGGGGCCAGTGCAGAGAGCTCGGCAGGTGGGGGGGAACACTGAGTGGAGGAGCGTTGGGGCAGCGTTGTCTGGCAGGGGAGCCACCCAGCTGATGGGGACGCGGAGGGGGGGCAAGGCTGTTTAGTCAAGTCCAGGAGGGACCATTGTGATCATCTCATCTCACCCCCCGCCCCCGTAGAGCACAGGCCAGAGACCTGCCCACAGTCATTCCTAGCGCAGATCCGTTAGACAAACAGCCCATCTGTATTTTACATTTAGCCATATTAAAACACGTCTTGTTTGCTAGCACCCAGCTCCCCAAGTGAGCGATCACTCTGGATCAGTGCCTGTCCTCGTCCTTATTTACTTCTCCCACAACGTTCCTGTTTCTTCCGGCATGACTTTGGTTTCTTCCAGGTTATTGATAAAAATGCTAAATAGCGTAGGGCCAAGAACCGATCTCTGCAGGGCCCCCTGGACACAGATCTGCTCAGTGAGGAGTCCCCATTTACATTTTGAGACCTCTCTGTTAGCCAGATTTTAAGCCATTTCCTGTGTGCCCTGTTCATTTTATATCCTTCTAGTTTTTTTTTTTTATCAAAATGTCATAAAGTACCAGGTCAAACACCTTACATGACATCAGCTCTATTACCTTTATCAACCAGACTTGTAATCTCATCCCAAGGCATATCAGGTTAGTTTGGCAGGATCTGTTTTCTACAAACCCATGTTGATGGCATTGATTATTATTCATACTACCCTCCTTTCGTTCTTTATTAAGCGAGTCCCATATCAGCTGCTCTATCTTACCTGGGATCAATATCAGATTGACAGGCCTGTAATTACTCAGGTCATCTCGATGACACTTTTTGAATAATGGCACAACATTAGCTTTCTTCTAGTCTTCTGGAACTTCCCTGTTATTCCAATACTTATTGAAAAGCAACATTAATGTTCTAATGAGCTCCTCAGCCAGATCTTTTAAAACTCTTGGATGCAAGTTATTTGGACCTGCCGATTTAAAAATGTCAGACTTTAGTAGCTTCTGTTTAACATCATCCGAAGATACTAGTGAAATGGAAAGAGTTTTATCACACACTATAACTGCATCATCTGTTTTTTCAAAATACAGAAAAGAAATACTTATTGAACACTTCTGCCTTTTCTGCATTATTGTAATGGCAGCAGGACCTCTCTCTTCCCAGACAGTTCCTGGCGCTGGCCCAAGCCCTTGGCGTTACACCATGGACTGTTTACTCAGGGATTTCCTTCTCTCCCGCAGCCATAATCCTGGCTTTACGAGGCACAGACAAGGGGTGGCAGGGAGGGGTGCAGCACCCTGGCTGGGGTGCTAATGGCAGCAGTTCCCGCACGCTGCCCTTGGAGGGGTGGCGGGGGGCCCCCGGGCTGGCTTCTGGCATGGGCCGTGCAAACGCTGCTCACTGCCTCTCTGTGCTCCCCTGACGCTTCCGCGCTGGGTGGCCCCAGGTTGTGCCAAGCAGCTTCCTCCCCCACCCCCCCATACACCATTCCTTCCTTCCCCGCCCAGCCCTGCGCCTCCCTTTCCCAGCAGGTGCTGCGGCTGGCCCCGGCGGGATGAACCTGCAGGTCGCTTTGCCTTGGCCTGTGGCTGAGTCCGCCCTGGCTGCTCCCCGCAAGGTCTGCAGGCCGAGGGCAAAAGCCGGTTCTCACCGCTGTGAAAGGCATTGACGCCAGTCTCTGATCTCGTGTTTCAGGCTGGGCAGCGAGGCTGCGGGCAGTGGGGAGGGCGTGAATGGACAGTGTATTAGTGCCCACAGTGTGCTGGGCTCCAGGAGGTGAGAGGGTCTCTCTTTCCTCGCCCCAGTCCCATGTGCCCCCCATATGGATGCAGATAGATTGTGGGAGGGCCAGACGGTGGCTTAAAGGGCCTGCCCGTCCAGTGCCATGAGGCCTTTGAGCAGGCAGCCCTGGGCACATGGTCATGGGTGAGGGCGCAGGATCTGGTGGGGGCGGGGGGGCAGCTGGGAACAGGCAGTGTGGGGGGGTCCATAAGGCATGTTTCCCAGTGCCTGGCTAGCACATGACCCTGTGCCTGCCGAACGGTGCCCACTGGCCTGAGATCAGGGCGAGCAGCGGCTGCCCAGCGTTCACGTTCCCTGCAGCTGGCACGTCTCCCCCCTCCTCCGACAGCACCAGCTGCAGCTAGTCCCGCGTCTCCTGCCTGGGGGCAGGTGTGGGCACCCTTGTCCCGTCCAGGGCGCTGGGATATCAGCTAGTCAGGGAACGGGCATAGGTGGCCCGTGTGTCACTCTGGGGTGCTGAGCAGGTATCCACGTGGGCGATCCAGTCCCAAGACCCCCAGGGCTCCCCCCCCCCCCAAATGTCCCAGCTGGGGGAGGGGGTGTGACGCTGCAGGAACGACAGCGCTTTATTTCAATTTTATGCAGGGAGAAAATGTTATCTGGGGGGGCAGGACTCCTGGGTGCTATCGCCCAGTTCTAGCCCTGGCTCTGGGAGGGGAGTGGAGTCTAGTGGTTAGATGCGGGGAGGGGGAGGGGGAGGTTGAGAGCCAGGACTCCTGGGTTAATCACAGAATATCAATCATAGAATATCAGGGTTGGAAGGGACCTCAGGAGGTCATCTAGTCCAACCCCCTGCTCAAAGCAGGACCAATCCCCAACTAAATCATCCCAGCCAGGGCTTTGTCAAGCCTGACCTTAGAGGTTTTTAAGGAAGGAGATTCCACCACCTCCCTAGGGAACCCATTCCAGTGCTTCACCACCCTCCTAGTGAAATAGTGTTTCCTAATATCCAACCTAAACCTCCCCCACTGCAACTTGAGACCATTATTCCTTGTTCTGTCATCTGCTACCACTGAGAACAGTCTAGATCCATCCTCTTTGGAACCCCCTTTCCAGTAGTTGAAAGCAGCTAGCAAATCCCCCCTCATTCTTCTCTTCTGCAGACTAAACAATCCCGGTTCCCTCAGCCTCTCCTCATAAGTCATGTGCTCCAGCCCCCTAATCATTTTTGTTGCCCTCCGCTGGACTCTTTCCAATTTTCCCATATCCTGGTGTGGGGTCCAAAACTGGACACAGTACTCCAGATGATGTCTCACCAATGTCAAATAGAGGGGAATGATCACATCCCTCGACCTGCTGGCAATGCCCCTACTTATACAACCCAAAATGCCGTTAACCTTCTTGGCAACAAGGGCACACTGTTGACTCATATCCAGCTTCTTGTCCATTGTAACCCCCAGGTCCTTTTCTGCAAAACTGCTTCCTAACCATTCAGTCCCTAGTCTGTAGCTGTGCATGGGATTGTGAGGGGGTGGGGGAAGATGGGGCGTGGGTGTGAGTGTGTGGGTGAGGGGGGGTGAGAGTGATTGTCATGGAGGTGGGGAAGAGGGATTGTGAGGGGGAGAGGGGTCTGTGTGTGTGGGAGACAGGGCATGGGGCGAGTGGGGGTTGAGGGATTGTGAGGGGGCTGGGAGAGATGTGGCACGGAGGTGTGTGGGGGGTGGAGGCAGATGGGGTGGAGGGGTGAGTGGGGGGTGAGAGAGATTGTGAGGGGGGAGACAGGGTGCGGGTGTGGGGGGGTGAGAGGGATTGTCACAGGGGTGGGGGAGAGGGCGCCGGCGTGGTGAGTCTGGGTCTGACGCTGGCTCGGGGAGCGCGGGATTCTCGGGTCCAGACGAACTCGCCGGCTCTGTCTCTGTTGGCTGTCCAGGGGTGTCCCCCCCGGGGGTGGGAGGGTCACTGCCCCATGTGGTGCGGGGCCAGAGCTGAGGTAGTTCATGTTGATGTCCCAGTGTTAGCCAGGGCGTGATAGCTGTGGGGCCGGGCGTCCGGGGATGGGGGCAGATGCTGCCCCAGCCCTGCCTGCTCTGCCTGCAGAGGCCTTCGGGGCGTGGGAGCCCGCGCTCCAAGGTGGGTCAGAGCTCCTGCAGGGCTGGCGGGCAGCCGGGGCATGGCCCTGGCCCGGATCCGGCCCTCAGGCAGGGCTGAGAGCACAGGGTGGGAGCATTGACCCAACAAGCCGGGGCCTTGCCACTGGCACGGCCGGTGCCTGCTGGAGCCCAGGGGGTTGCGCCAGGGTCAGGTGCCGCTGGGATTTGTGCATCTGGATCAGCCCATCTGATCCGTCTTGTCTCTACGCAGCCGCAGGCTTCCCCGGGGCTCCCGCGGCGCGGCTGGCTGTTGTGCCGTGCCATTCGCAGGCTCCGGCTGAATGGCTCCGGGCCTGGCTCGGCGGGGCCTAGATCTGGTGCTTCTGTTGCTCACATGGTGCTCTGGGGGTGGAACGGCAGCGTGGGGGCCAGGCCGGCACCCGCCCGCCCGTCCGCAGCAGCCAAGCCCAGCGTGTGCCGAGCGACCCAGAGCAGGCTGGCCGGGGCCCGTCACTCCCCAGCACTCGGCCCACAGCCCAGGGTGACAGTGTCTGTGCCCCCAGGCAAATCGCATCTGGCCATCGTGCAGAAGGTGAACAGCGAGGGAGAGGGCGACCCCTTCTACGAGGTGCTGGGGCTGGTGACACTGGAAGACGTCATCGAGGAGATCATCAAGTCAGAGATCCTGGACGAGTCGGACATGTACAGTTAGGTGCCCCCTCTTCCCCCCTGGGCACAGTGCTTCTGGCCTGCCCCCCCATCCTTCCGTCCCCCAGGCATAGTGCCGTTGGCCTGCCGCCCCCGTCCTCTCTGGTCCTTCCGCCCCCCTCCCGTCTCCCTCCAGGCACAGCGCTGCTGGCCAGGCCCCTCCCATGCAGGTCCCGCCCTCTTGGGTGCAGCACCACTTGCCTGGGCCTGGCCCCCTCCCCTGCTGTCCCCCCCCACCCGCTGTCCCTTTCCCCCCCGGGCGCAGAGCTGCTAGCCTGGCCCCCTCCCCCGCTGCCCCCCACCTGGGTGCAGCACCAGTGGCCTGGCCCATTTCTCCCTGCTCATGTCCCTCCATCCCCCCCGATGCCATGCCGCTGACCTGGCCCCTCCCCCCGCAGATCCCCCTCCCCCCCCA